CCAGAAACTTTTCTGAGGATACCCCAAATGAGCACTTGAGGTGGTTGAGTTTCATCCTGTACTTTTGGAGCACGTTGAACATTTTAGCGAGATGCGCTATGTGATCTGAAGCGACATGCGACTTAACTAGCATGTCATCAACATATACTTCCACAATTTTGCCAATCTATTCGGAAAACATACGGTTGACCAACCGCTAGTAAGTTGCCCCAACATTCTTCAAGCCGAAGGACATGACCTTGTAACAACACAGTCCTTGATCTGTAACGAATGAGATATGCTCTTCATCTGACGCGTATATCAGGATTTGATTATATCCTGAGTAGGCGTCGATAAAGCTCAGCAGCTCATGCCCATAGGTGGCATCAACGAGCTGGTCGATCCTTGGCAGAGGAAAGCTATCCTTCGGACATGCTTTATTGAGGTCGGTGAAGTCGACTCAGGTTCGCCATTTGCCATTGGGCTTTTTTACCAAAACTGAGTTGGCAACCTAGCTAGGGTAAAATGCCTCCCAAATAGACCTGTTCAAGAGGAGCTTATCCACTTCACTTTTCAGGGCGACATAGCGTTTAAGGTCCATTGCTCTTCTCTTCTAGTGAATTGGCTTGACCATACTGTCAATGTTTAGTGCATGACATATTACGTTCGAGCTGATCCCCGACCATATCGGCTTGAGTCTATGCAAAAACATCAATATTTTCTCTGAGGAAGCTCGTCAGGCTTTCGGCGAGCTGGGGTTGAGATTACTCCCAATTCTTAATACTCTGGTCAGCTCGCTTTCTTCTACCAATACCTCAAATAGGTCCTTAACTGACCCGCTGTGAGGACATTCTTGGATGCGAGGATCCGTGTTGTCCTCTGTTGGTCCAGGTCGTGGCTCAATTTTGCTGATTGCCATGGCGTGCTTGGGGGCACCCATTGGCTTTCCCTTTCCCTTGCACGCCATCTAGATTGCCTTTATGTAGTAGTTGCGAGATTCACGTTGGGATCCTTACACTACCCCGATCCCCGTCGAGGTGGGAAACTTTATCTTCAGATGGTAGATAGAGGTGATAGCCTTGAAATTCTGTAGCAGAGGTTGTCTCAGGATGCCATTGAGGGCGGACGGACAGTCTACCACCAAGCACTCTGTCACCTTGGTCACTTCGTTGGTTTCACCTAATGTGACGGGGAGTAAAATCGTTCCTTTAGGAATCAGGTGATCCCTGGTAAAACCTTAGAGGGGGAAGGAGGCAGGCTTCAAGTCTACCTTGTCCAATTGCATTCTTTCGAAGGCTTGCTGAAACAGGATATTCACTGCGCTTCCATTGTCCACCAACATTTTGTGGACTTCATACCAGCCTATTTTAGGCACGATGACGAGTGCATTGTCATGGGGGTGATGCCATCATACTGTGTCTTTTTCGGAGAAGGTCATTTCTTCTTCCCTGCGGATCTTAGCAGGTCACGGCGTTGTGCTCATTACACTCAAGGGGTCATGGTGAGCTTCCCGAGCATACCTTTCCTTGGCATCTCGAGAGTTCTCCACGAGGTATGGCCCCCCGAAAATGATCCCTAGACAATAGAGCCCCTTGCGACCATGACTCCTCTTCCCTTGTTCCTTTTGGTCCTTTTCCCGAATGGGAGTTGGACCGTCAACATACTCCTTGAAGTGCCCCTGTTTGATGAGGTCTTTAATTGCCTGCTTGAGAGTCTGACACTCAGTAGTGTGGTGTTCATTGTCCTGATGATAGCAACAGTACTTTTTGTTGTTCGTAGCTGATGGGAGATTCTTCACGGGCTTCAGCTCTCCGAGCAAGCTAGCCTCTTCTAACTTATCTAGAATTGTCGATACTGAGGCCTTCAAAAGAGTGTATTGATTTTTGTTGCAATCGCGATGAGGAACTGGGGCATAAGACTTTTTGGGCTCAAATCGCTGCTTCTTCCTTTTTCACTGATCATCATTAGCCCAACTGCGATTAGCCCTTCTACTGTTCTCCCCCTGGTTGGAACATTGGTTGAAAGACCGGGGTTGTGGTGATTGAGAGTAACCACATAATTTTCTATTCGGAGATACTTCTCGGTAAAGTCGTAGAAACGAGTGAGGAAAACATCGTCCTTTGATTGTAGCTTTTTCCACAAGTCAGTCTGTAGGTGAACCCCTGCGATAATGAGAGTCTGAACGGACTCTTCAGGAGTGTGAGCCATTTTATGGAGTTTGCGATGAAACTTGTCTATATAAGATTAGAGGGACTTATCCCTCTCCTATCGTATATTGCTCAAATAGCTCAACGGCATTGAGAACTTCCTATTTGCCTGGAAGTGCCTCAAGACTAACGAGCTCATTTGTTGCCATGAGCTTATTGATCCCGCGGGGAGTGACCTGAACCCACTTGGCACGGGCGATTAATGTCAGTGCTAAGCAACTACATTTGGCCAAGTCAGAGAATTGGTGGAGTTTCATATGGTCATTGAACTCGTAGAGGTGGTCCTGCGAATCAGAATTCTCATTGAATGCCCGCATGTCAGGTATCTTGAATCTAGATGGGAGAGGAGCAGCTAGTATTGCTAGAGAAAAAGGGGACGCTTTAGCGACCTTACCCTATTCGTTTTGCTGAGCCTTGAGCTGATCCAATTGTCGCTACAACTCCTCAATCTGAGATAGTGGAGCTATCGGGGGGTTACTTTCCGCAACGTGGGTTTGACCCTCACGATTGTGATTGAGGAAGGACCGGAGGTTAGGCCCTTTTGCTGCTCAGTCAGAAGCTCCGGCGTACCCTGACACATGCTAGCTAGAGCCGTGTGAGAGTAGCGAATGACTTAGGGAGTTTCTCGACCCCCGCGGTGGTCAAAACCGACCCACAGACGATGGGGGTTCTCTCGGCAGTGATAGTCGGGACCATTATTTTGATGAGGTTGGGAATCTCACTGCCTTGCACTTTTAGGAGTGTGTCCATATGATGTGGCGTGGGACGGCTCATGTTGCGTCATGTCGCCAAGTCGCAATGGCACGGGTATTCTACCCGCTAAGCGACCGGTGTTCGCTAGCCCCTCGGAGCCCTTTGGTTCATTGCTCGCCACTTGTTTCCCCTTATTGTTACGTGCTGTGGTGCATACAGTTCAGGCCTTTGCCCTTTTTCGCACTTTCGCCAGACCTGCAGGCGTCTTTGGCGGTGGCACGACCCAATCTAAATGGTCTAGCCTCTGGCTAACCATTTGGAGAGTATTGCTGAACCTCTCCAGATAATTCATCACGGCCAGGTCAAGTTGCGACCTTGAAGGAATATCCGCCATGATACTCTGTTGGACTGGCAGCCCTTCAGGAGAAGTGTGATTCTGTACTTGGGGGATTTCCTCATTGTTGAAATTGGTTTGCTCAATTTAGAAATCACGAGCCATTAGTTGGTGGATAGGATCGGTCAGAGGTTTTTGATGAAGAGCGGATACTAAATCACGCCCTCTTTCTAGCGCCAAACTGTTGATGCTTAATTTTAACACCAACTATTCATGCGTGTGAAATGCTAAGCGGACTCAAAAGTCACACGTGGTATGAAAGTATAAAAAGAGATGTCGAGCAGGTAGTAATTTTTAAAATTGTTCGGATGCTCTAAGGCGAATCCTACGTCCATTGTGATTATATTAATGGTTGATTACAATCAGATCTCACTCAGCGAGCTAAATTTCAATAGTAAAATAAATGTAGAGAGAGAGAGAGAGAGAGAGAGAGAGAGAGAGAGAGGGAGGGAGAAGTGGATGAGCCAATGCTGTAAAACAGAGGAGAGCCCTCTATTTATAGTTGGAGGACTCAAGCTGGTAATCATGATTCTGTGTGCGGGCAGGTGTGGTATAATTCCTAACCCGCTTCCCATTCGTTGTCTACACGAGAGATATCCTTAAATCGTATAAGCTTCAGCAGATAGACAATTCCTAACCACTTATAAGTCTGGCATTCACCTGCCTCACTAACGATGGCCTTATCCCTCTAGTCCTTGCGGGACGTGGCTGCAATATCATCGTAGTATTATAGACTTTCTCTTATATTAGTGAATCTTTTAAAAATTATTGAAAATAAAGAGAACAAATAAAATATTTAATAATTTTTCTATAAATGGTCACTTCCTATTTCAGTTCTTATATTTTAAGTAATATAATTTTCAATTGTTATGCTAGATTCATTCTGTTATACACTTAATTTTGTGAAGTTATGATATAATTAGTGTGTTTTTTTTTTTTAAACTTTTCTTTATTAAAAAATATTTTTTAGTTAATATAAATTACTTATAATCATATCTTATAAGTAATTTATAATGATTAAAAATATTTATAAGTAATTTATAATAACTAAAAATACATATAACAATAATTGGTAATATTTTTATCAAAAAAGTTTGGGTTATTTATGTCCTTTCATACACAATCCTTACTAGTCTGGATTAACATATTAATTACCGAAACATTAGGGTCAAAAGAGAATCCTTGAGGTTAGGGACGAAAAAGTTCAAAATAATTGATTTTTTATTTATTCTTTATTTTTATAAGTGATTTAATATCAAAACAAGATCTCATGGAACAGAAGAATGTAGTGATTATTATCCAAATTTATATAAATTCAAGGTTTAATAAAATATGTGATAAATAGTTAAAATATCACTAAGAGGGTAATTTTGGAAATATATGGAATTTATTTAGATATTTAGATTATTTTAAAAATTTTAATAGGATTTTTTTAAATGTGGGTTTTAATCAAATATATGTAACATCACTCTGGGTCTGGGATAATTTAATCAATTTTTTAAGGAGTAATTAAAAATATAAAAGAAAATTGTTTATTTAAAAAATCCATTACCAATTTTCTAAGCCATTGCCTACAAGTCATATGTGTAAATTAAAAAAATGATAAAATATAGGGTCTAACTGAATTTATCCTCATAAAAACTATGGGGATGTCGATGATAATTAACAACTTCTAAGGAGCTACTTAAGGCTCGCATCTCTTCATCCTCCTCTCTCTAGTCTCTCTCTCCGGTTTCTCTCCACTGCCTCCATGAAATCAGCTCTAATGGGCAGTATCAAACTCCCTTTCTCTCAACTGGGGTTCCAGAAAAAGCCATGTATTTCACTTCCTGTGAACAAAAAGATTGGGACTTTAACAATAACTTGTGGGTTAAGAGATGGAAGCAGAAAGCCCGTAAGGCAGTCTAGAATTTTGTCAACAGAAGCCATCCAGGCCGTCCATGCCATGAAACTTGCCAAGTCAAGTTCAAAACTTGAAGAGGTTTTTCATGGCAGAGTCTCCAGGCTTCTCAAAACTGACTTGTTGGACACTTTAACTGAGTTGCAGAGACAAAATGAATTAGAGTTAGCCCTCAAGGTATATGAATATTTATGTTAATATTATTTATTTAAATATTTCTTTTTTGAATTTCTTGTTTGGGGTTTGCGTTTGTTTGATAGTTTTAAATTGCTTCAAGTGAGCACGTGAGTATAATTTTGCATTTTGGAGACAGTGTCTCACTGTTTTTCTGATTCTTGGTGATGTTTCAGATTGTTAATTTTCCAAGTATGGTGAATTTCTGTAGTATAATATTGAAATTTTTGTTTTAATATGGAAAATGCTCTCCATATCTTCACATTATTGTAGAATGATTTAACCATTATACTTTTCAATGTTGAAATTGATTTTAGTGTAGCTTCCTTTTGTAGAGTTGAGTGAATGAACTTTTTGAGAGTAGTTTTGCTACTCAAATTTTATACGTTAGAAGGCTTTCCAGAAAAATTATGTTCCTATATGAATTACTTGAACTAATTTTTTATTGGACATTGGGCTTATTCATCAGCAAATGAAATTGATGTGGAGAGATTCAAGTTTATCTTTCAATCTTTTTCTTTTTACGAGATCACTTTGCTAATCAGTTTTCATGATATTTAATTTTGTTTATGTTTGCTAATCAGTTATTTTGTCAGTGTATTAAATAGAAAAATGAGTACCTCCTCAGTTTTTCTGGGGATGATGGTTTCAACTTGCATCTGTGTGATTTTAAGCTTAAAGATTTGCAGAAGTAATAACTCTTTGACACTAAACCAGACTAGTTCTTTGATCTGGAGAAGAGTTTGAATGCTCTTAAAGTATCACAACATGAGTTGATTAGTTCTCACTTTTTACTTTCAGAAATTGTGTCTAGGTAATCTTGTCTAGTGTAGTAGGATGTGGCAATAGTAGTGCTCATTTTCAAATGCAGCAGACTGATAAGAAAAATTGGGGTGGTTATCAAAAACGGGAAAAAAAAATTCATGTCCATTGATGAAAGCTAATATTAGTTGTGTTCTACTTTTCACACTCCTTTTCTTTAATTGCCAATTTATTTTTCAATTGAATGCATATTTTCTTTCTATTTTATACTATATCTGAAATGAGATCAGGTTTTAGGTCTTCCATTTTGTGCGGAAAGAAGAGTGGTATAAGCCAGATCTGTCTTTATACTGTGACATGATTCAAATGTTGGGAAAGAACGAACTAATAACAAGTGCTGAAGAGCTTTTTTGTGAACTCGAAAAAGAAGGTTTGGAACCTGACACAAGGGCTTATACCGAAATGATTGGAGCGTATCTGCAAGTGGGCATGATAGACAAGGCAATGGAGAAATATGGAGCAATGAAGGAATCAGGCTGTGCTCCAGATAAATTAACATTGACAATTTTGATCAGGAATCTTGACAATTCTGGAGAAGAAGAGCTGGCAGAAACTGTAAGGAAAGAATGTGCTCAATATGTTGATTATCCTGAGAAATTCCTTGAAACAGTTGCTCGGAAACATGTAAGATATCCATATTTACACATTTTTTGGCAGTGTCTTTTTATCTGTACTAAATTGTATGTTCTAATGTAAATTAAGGACGCACATCTCATATGCATGCCTGAAATATGGAGAGAGTCCTTGCCTGTATGGCTCTTTCGGTTAGGCTTTAACAGCAACTCCCTTTTCTTTCTTGTGAATGTCATGAAAAAAGAACTCTGGGATGTGTAGAATTTTTCTTCTTAGAGGAGTTAAAACAAAAACCGATTAAGTTTGCAGATTGTTTCTTCTGGGGTTAATGGAACTACGATATTGGAAATTTATCCGCATGGTTTTAGTTGAACAAAATTATCTCTTTGGGTTGATCTTCAGATGGATGCATATTATTGGTTTTTTGGGAAAATAAACGAAGAAAATTTTGAGATTCACTATTGCACACTACATTTGTGTTCTTACACTAATGAATGACAGTTGATATTGATCAGTGTTTGATTCGTGTTTAGATATGGAGCCATATTTCTTCTAGTCTAAGATATTTTTCGTTATTCATGGAATTTTAGCTTATAGAAATATCTGACTTTGGCTCTTGATGTGCCAGCGAAAGAGAGTAGTTGATATTGTTTGAAGAGCTCCTGTGCATGAAGCAAACATAGAGCTGGCTTTTGTACTTCATACAAGCTACAACACTCGTTAGACATTTGCACTTATCTTGAAGAAAAATTATGAAGAGGCCATTCAACGTGTTGAAAGCACCATTGTTTTATTTGTAATGATTCAGAGTTCAGCATAACTAAAGATCTTCTCTCCATCATTAACTTGTATATCCTATTAGATATAAGGCGAAACTAAATTCAGGTGACGTTTGTAGATCAGTAGTAGAACTCTATTTTCAATGGAATTTATTATTTCTAGAGTGATGGTACACGTTCTAGTGTAATATTCTCAAATTTTCTTCCGATGTATCTTACTAAATTGATATGGTAACGTATCTGATACCATTGAGCTATATATGTACCAATGTTGAAGCAATTCTCCACAAGCACCTAGCTTCAGGGTGTTCGGTTTCGAGTACTCTATATTTTTTGAAAGAACCAAAACCGAAACTGATGGGTGCCCAATCGGAACCTACAACAACAGTTCCGATTCCGGGTACCCAAGAAAATTATATACCCCCCAAAAGTTTATAAAGTGACAAAAAAAGCCTTTAAAAACTTACAAATACACCCCCATCGAGCACTTGTTAACAAAAAAATAAAATTACAAATACATTATAAAGCCTTCAGGCCTTCCACCTCCAATTTAACTTTATGGAAACTAAGAATTTCACATTACCAATTACAATAATAATTTGAAAAATCAGAAATTTCAAATTAGAAACTCCAAAATTAAAATTACACATTCCACTCCTTAATGTTATTTCATATTAGTCCTTGTTCCGGTTCCAATTCTTGATTATTCCAGTTCCTGACTGGAAAAAGGGAAACCGGAACCGTACTGTGTCAATTCCCAAAATTTGAAACCAAAACAGTAAAACCTACCTATTAATGGCCGGTTCCTACCCAAACCCCAAGTACCGAGCTAGGGGTACATATTTATTGTATGATGGCATCAGTTTTATAGCACAACAATCATAATAAAATTTCTAGATGATCATATAAAATTAGAGTGAATTGGTTTCAGTAATGTAATATCGAATAATTTGATAAGCGACGGGCGACTATTTCAAATTGTCACTTTATAAAGGATTGCATCTACGCATAATAAGATCAAATAGAACTTGCCCACATTATACAAAAAGGAGTTGGTATAAAGCTTACAATAATGTTGCCCTAAGTTTCAATTTATTGTACTTGGAACACAACGTATATGAAAAGAAATAAGTAATCCTCTTTTTTTGCTTTCATCAGGTAGATATACAAAGGAATGCCTGACAATACATATATTACAGGCCACTTTGACAACAGAAATGAGAATATTGTTTGGCCTCTTTCCACTAAAATTAGAGAAATCATACACTCGCAGGTAACAAACCACATCGAGGAACAAATAAATATTACAAAGAAAAGAAAGAAAAAAAAAAATTGTTGAAAGGGGAAGAAGGAAACCAAAATTCAGATTGCTGTTAATAGTTCCTCTTCAGCTAGCTAGGTGGCTAGGAGAGCTATTGAACATACTGTGCCACATGTATGCTCTGGATAGTACCATCTCAAGCTCTTGGTGTGTCCAATTGTTCGTTGGAAGGTGTTGCAGGAACATTACCATCTCCTGGAAGTCCAGCTTCTGAAGTTTATCTGACCACTGTAAAATAGATAATGAAAGAATATGCTTAGGTATTTGATGTTTCATATTTCTCTGACAGAAATGTATCTCATCCCAGAAGGGCGTATACAAACTTATGTGGGTTATAAAATATTCACTCACTTTGAAAAAGACATCATTACCAGTAATTAATTTGAAAGTAAAATTAGGCAAATTATACCAATGCAAAGCAAAGTCTCTCACCGTTAAAAGAAAACTGGCGAATATGTACACAAGGAAATCAGGCAATGCATCTCCTTCAGCAAGATATGTGTCCCACAATCGAGTAACAAGATGAAACGGGATCTAATAAAACAAACAAGTTATCAGCTTCCCAATTAAATGAAAAGGCAGGAACATAACTGAATCTCAGATTAACTCTTCCTTAGTTGCAACTTAACAGGTTGTAGTGAATAAAGGTTTGGGCTATTTTATTAATGACAAATAAGTATGAGAAATGAAGGAAATGGCATTAGTACAGAGCACAGGTTAAGCATGCTGAAAACATACCTCACGAATTAAAAGACAGTTAAACCAGCGGAAAGCAAATTGAAGAAATTCAAGCCCCTGCTCTTCAATGTGTCTTGAAACAGGTTCTGGTTCAACAATAGACTAGTTAATAGGACAGAGAACACTGTATTTGAAGAAAAAAATTAAAACTAAAAACCTTGTACACACACACACACAAAAGTATCCAAGAAAAATGAGAAATTTTTTAATGCAGCTTGGAGTAGAAAAGCCATTCTGCTGGCATGTAGTTTCTTCCAAAAAAATAAAAGAAAAAAACATGTGCTGAGCTCCATCTAACACAAAAAACTTAAGCTAATGACCAAGAAAGCTATTTTGGTAGCATTCAAATTATTTCTTTCTAATTGAAGCCCTTAAATTTATTACAAAAATTACCCTCTTATGTTTTTAAAATAATATTAAAAAAAAAAAAAAAAAAAAAGAAATTTGAACATTTATGCTATTATCAATCTAAACAATAGAACATCATTAATTTGTTACAGAACAAAGTGAGGGGGAGGGAGAGAGGGCGAGGCAGTAGCTTTTGGGTCAAAGAGCTCTAGGGACAGGTATTTTAGAAGCCACCATAGTGTCCATCATGAAGTTCCAAAGGACCACCAACCAGATTTCTGTAATACTAAAATTTGAGAACTATTTGGCAGATTTAATTTACTTGAAAAATAAAATGTGACTTGGCTCATTAGAAGTAGCATAATTTAAAAGAAGAAAATGCCAGAAAATGGTTTTACCATCAATCCTGCGAACCAATTCCTTCAGCTTAAACACAAGCCTCTGGATTCCTGGCTGAGCAAATGTGTAATGATCTTGCATACCATCAAGCAATTTTGATAGGCACCAATAGCAATCAGCCTCTATGTCAGAGAATTTTTCTGGTGGTATATCTGAGATCGACCAATTATCCACACTCCCTTCCAAATATTCCGAAAGGAAAACAACAAGAAAAGGAGTAACAAGATCATTTATCCCCTGAACATACCCACTTGCAGGATGCCGAATAGCCCTGGAAAGAAAATAGAATTTGTACACATGACAAAAAGTTCTGATCTGCCAATAAAATGGTGTAAGGAAACATCAAGTGAAAAAAATTTTCCCACTAAAATATTCAGAATTAGAATTACCAATAACAAAAATTAGGAAGGCTATTAAGTAACAGTAGCATAATCTATTGGCAAATATGAACTGGAATGCACATAATCTGGAAATTAAGCAAAATTATGGAAGGAGTTCTCAGATCACTGTAATATATATTTGCATAACTAACAACTGCAGAGAAAGGTGATCCATCCAGCAGTTGTTAGATGACAAATAAGAACCAGAACCATGTTTAAAAGTTAGTCTAATAGTTAACTCTACCAAACTTTTAAGTTTAATTTGCTCATCCTAAATTCATTGCCGAATTTGACTTCAGAAAAAGAGATCAGATTGAGCCACGTCATGTTGAACACCAATCAATTCTAACTCATGCACTTGTCGCAACTGCTAGCGTGATGACACTAGTCCACATACATGTCAAGGTACAGCAATAAGAAAAAACCAAGCATAGAGCAGGAACTTTTTCATAAAATTTAGGATTCAATTGATTGAATATTCAATCAAAAGTGAGAAGCTCTTCCTTCTGCATTCAGCTCAATCTCAAGCTACTTCAATCATTTAAACGGTCTCTCACTGGCACAGATTCCATCATGTAAAAGATATGGGTAACTGGGGCTACAAGGGTAAGAATATTGTCTAACCATGTATAAAGAATGCGCTCTAAGGATTTCTGAACTTGTGCTTGCTGAAAGAAAGTAACATCAGGCACGGTTCTTGGACAATCAACAGCAATCTAACAAGAAAGTAAAGACAACTGTCAAGGTCATGTGGAAAGTTAAACAAAAAGATCAAGACTGATATGCAGTTTCTGTCAAAATACCTGGCGAAGCATGTTGATTTCATCATCTGAACGTTCAGTATCTGGAATGTCATAAAACTGAGCAACACAGTCAAGATACTCACTACGCTTCCTTCTCAGGACTCCCTCCCTTCTATCTGAATTAGGTGGTGCATATCCCTGTTGTCAGTTCATATTTAAATTTCAACAGGAAAAAAACTATATTCAATAAAGATGATTCATGTTACTTAAGAGGCCAGATTATGTAAATCCCGGTACTCAGATGGAGACAATCACTTGAATGCATGCTCCTAAAATGATTCCTTTTAACTTTTGAACAATAGGAATAGACGACCACTAACTAAAAAAGACAAACAGAACCATAATGAATTGTAAGGAAACAACAGCAGACCTATAGCCAACACATCAAGCCTCAATATCAGTTGAGTAATAAACTAAAAGGCCAATTCCTACTCAAAATATGTACGGTACATAGAATGAGCACAAACCAGCTTCCACATCTTTCAATTGATCTCTCTCACCAGAGTTAGCATAAAGCAACCAATTTATGCATACAGATTAACAAGAAATCCACACCATAGTTCTTTACATGTACAACTGTTCGTTCATCAAAGAGTTTATTAGTCCAAAATTTTCTTAAAAACATCGCTTAAAAAAATTACCAGTGAGAGAATTTCCAAAGAAATGATCATAAACAAACTCTGTTGTCAATGTACTTCCTAAATTGATGGCAAGTAATAGAGCATAAGGCTTACCAAGAGAAGCCTCCATACAGTAGGGCGCATGTATGGTGGTACACCACTCCAAGCTAACTCTCGTAATCTTTCTGAATGATTAAGCAAAAAAGAATACAGTATAAATTAGAAGCTAGTAGAGAGATAGAAAAAAATAATAATAATAAAGGATCCTAATCTCAATTAAAAACCAAATCAGTTCCTTTGGAAATTTCTATACCAATAGATAAGCAAGAAGCTATATAGCAGGATACCTAATATGACCATTGAACCAGATAGCTCCTTCGTAAATTTCATAACCCTTGCAGAATCTGTAGCTCTAGCACCCATGCTGGACTTCTGAGATTCTTTGAACATAGTTTCAATATTTGAATTTGTTGACTTTAACTTATAAGAATTTCCATTATTTGGCTTGGTTGTATCCTGGTCTTCTACCTGCATGATAAGTAAATAGCAAATCAAATCCTTTAATATTTAAATTTCAAATGATACTTAAATTGTGAAATTAAAAAAAATAAATAAAAAAAATAAAGGAATA